CTGTCATTCTGTAATTTAATCTGTTTCAGAGGCAGACAATCGAGCTCATTGCCATAACCAAAGTGAACTACATGTGGAAAGGAAAGCCTAATGTTTACTATGTGTATGGAAATGAGTTTAAAGTGAACGCTGATGACTATCCCGCCACCTGCTGCTGTTCTGTCATGTAACATCAAATACACCTGACCTGATGTACGGTATAATATAAATGCTGTATATCTGTTAAGATGAACAAATGTAATGTGTCTTTTGCCTATACACCCCAGAATCATGACATCTGTAGCTGACAGACACAAAACTCAACCTGTCCGAATGGGGCATTGTTTATGCAGCTTAACCATGTACACTGTATGTAACATTTTATGTCACCTGACTCAATATAACCAAATGTGAATTACTAAACCTCTTGTAGATGCATTTTTTCAGAAGCCCTAACTATTGAAGAATATTAAGTATAGTCTATAGTAAATCTATAAACAAAAACAATGTATTGAGATTAAGAAAGAGTCCAAATAAACTGAGTTTTAAGAAAAGACCCCAAAACCATTGTATTTGTTTTTTTTTGCATTTTCTTTCAATTTTTTGTATTTTATTTAAGACTAGACATTCAAAGCCAAACAAGGTTCATACCTGCCAACACTCATTAAATACAACCACAAATCAGAAAAAGTTTGGACATTTTGTAAAATGCAATGAAATCAAGAATCTGTGAGTCCCCATGCTAACTGCACACCATCGCTAACACCATGTGAAATGGGCCCAAGATCATCAAGATTGGACAGTGGATGATCGGAAGAAAGTGGCGTGGTCTGACAAATCAAGATTCCTGGTGCATCACGTCGATGGCTGAGCGCAGATACGGCGATTACTAACAGAGTGTATGGCACCTGAATGCGCTGTGGGGCGGACAATGGCCGGTGGCGGCGGTGTTATGCTGTGGGCGATGTTTCTTGGGACACTTTTGGCCATATGATTTTGGCATTGGTGGGGACGTAATGGCAGACAACAGACATTTGATTGTTTGATCAAAATTATTGCTTGGGACAATTTAGTAGTCGCTGGATACTGGTAGGGACATGTCATTGCGTCCTTACTAAATTATCTATATAATGACAATGTCAAAAATAACTCCAGAGAAATAGTCTTGGTGAATATGTCAGCATTCACCATATTCAGTCATTTCCAGCCCAAATTCCAGAAATGATAGCACAGCTGATTTGCTCATTCTAGGAGCTATAAAAAGATGTATATGTGAAAAGTGATAACTGCTGACTCGAATAGTCTTTTGAGAGATCAACATCAAATGCTGTACGACATATAACTGCATTGCTTGATTACAGGCATACCAATGGAAATGTGCAACTTTTCAGCTCTCTGTCCTTTCTGTTTGGGCACGAGATGGCCATGTTCATTCTTCATCCCCAACAGGACTGTTTTGACTGGCTTGCTGTGACTGATTTTCGTTGCATTTCTGGTCTTCCATTTCAGCTGTAAAACAAGAAAAATATCTATTGACCCCATGTTTAATTATTATTGTTGTTAAAACATATTAAGACCATTATATTTATATACGTCAAGGTCAAGCTCAAATTCCCTGGCACCCCTGCAGGCTCCTGAGTTCATCTATATACATCATATTCAGAGTCTGAGAAAAGGCCATCATGCAAACTTTCTTTCTACCTTACAACAGAGCAAAAAAGAATGTGTAAGTGAGTGAGGGAGTAAAGGAATAAGATGAAGAGAAACAGGCAGAGAAAGGCAGAATTGTGTGGAAGTTTAATGGAATGAAAGGGAAGCGGTATTAGAAAAAGCTGTATCTTCAATAGCAAGCTATATTAATATGAATTACTTTAAACATGATTACATCCTACCAGTATTGTTGTAAGAAATTTAAAGGCCTCTTCACACCAAGGATGAGACTACACCGCAGCTATTTATCACCTGGAATCACTTTCAGAACAAATTTCTCCAACTGATTAACAATAAAAACAACGACAGCCAAACAGAATCCACCCAATTTAAAGAGCTTGAGCATTTAAATGGCAGACAAAATAAACGCAGCGTTCGCTTATAACAAACAGAACGTTATCATCTGTTGGTGTGGATGCTAAAATAGTTCTCATTATAGTTATTGTTCTTGGTGTGAGCAGCCTTAAAGGGATAGTTCATCCAAAAATGAAAATTTAATGTTTATCTGCTTACCCCCAGGGCATCCAAGATGTAGGTGATTTTGTTTCTTCAGCAGAACACATATGATGATTTTTAACTTTAACCGTTGCAGTCTATCAGTCGTATAATGCATGGCAATGGTAACAAAATCTATGAGAGTAAAAAAAACATGCACAGACAAATCCAAATTAAACCCTGCGGCTCGTGACGACACATTGATGTCCTAAGACACAAAACGATCGGTTTGTGCCAGAAACCGAACAGTATTTATATCATTTTTTACCTCTAATACACCCCTATGTCCAACTGTCTTTGGGCGCGCGCAGGCATCCGGTCTGTGAGGTGTGTACGCACTCTGGCGTAGTTTACGTTAAAGGGTGTGTTGATGCAGCCGAAGAGCAATCCACCATAACTTCAGGCGAGCAGGCTCAGAAATTGGGAATACGTGGAAAGTCACCACTCCCGAATGAGTTCGCACGAGAGAACGTAATCTTTTAGTTTTAAGTCGGTTTGAACAATCCGAATAAGCGCAAGTAAGTACCATTTTGATAATCCATTGTACCTACAATGACTGTGCACTGTGTAAACAATGAGTGACGTATACGCGCGAGAGATCACTTCCGGCGCTTGCGTAAACTACGCCAGAGCGCGTACAATGTACTGTTGGAACGGAAAGAGACTGTGCCAAAATTTTTGCTTGATGCAAGACTTCAGCTGCTCAGCAGTCCGTGGTTGACATTGTCCGATTCTCCTTTTCATAATAGGCCATACATTTTCAATAGAAGACAGATCTGGAGTGCAGGTAGGCCAGTCAAGCATGTCCTCTCTGTGTCTACAAAACCACGCTATTGTAGCACATGCAGAATGAGACCTGCAGGGCTTAAAGTTATCCGGCGTGTGGCGTTTGGCTGCAGGGGAAAAAGATAGTCGTCCTACATTTAAAAACATTTGTTGATATCACGTTCGAGTTCGTGAGTTCGCCTACCAATGTATGAGAGGAACACAACTTTCATTCTCAACCAAACTAACATTACTAGCCAATCAGAAGTTTTTGCTCTTATAAACACGAGACGCGCATAATAGTAGGCTATCAAATTGCAGAGTCGCAGCTGATGAATGGAAACGAAGCCTTGGGGCAAGTTCAAGCTCAAACCGGTGAGCACCGTTTTGCTACGGTTTCCGGGTTGAAC